TACCTGCTTGATTGATGATGAGTGCGTGAGCCTGCTGGATGAGGCACCCTCACCCAGGCTGTCGTCCCCACCAAATGCATCCTGTGCTGCTCCTGCGGGGCTGGGGGAGGCCGTGGACCGTCAGCACGCTGAGCAACAAGAGGCAAACAATAAATGTCTTGTATGAGCGATTGCAAAGAAAATGGAAAGTCGTTTAGTCTCACTCTGTGATGCTTAATGGGTCTGAGAAGTGATCTAATTGCTTGGCTGCCTCGTCACGCACATCCATAACTCAGGTACCGGGACTGCCGGCTCTCGCCTCGCTGGGAACGTGCAGAGGTCCCTAATTTGCTCCGACAGCGCTGGTAGTTGTTCAGCATGTCCCAACACTCTGTTCCAGCACGCTCTGATGTGCTCGGCAGTTGTTAGTGACAGCTCAGGGGTGCCACCAGTCCCCTCAGGAGTGGCATGTAGCATGGCAGTGAGTGGGCAAGGCAGAGGCAGGAGTGGGCACAAGGAGCTGCTGGGGAACGGGGCGGCCAAAGCCAGAGGGAACGGAGGCACGGAGGACCCCGAGTGCCCATCAGCTGTCCCCAATAAATGGGCAAAACCTGAGCTGCAGGAGGGAAAAAGTAAGTCCCTGACACTGCAGCCACCGCAGCCAGGATGCTGCCTGTAGCAGTGCTGAGGGCTGACAGCCAAAATCCCCATGCCTGTGCACCCTCCCCTTGCAGACCTCGGGTTCCAGCTCTCATCCCAGGGAGCCGGCCCTTGCCGAGGAGCCTGGACATCCCATGGGTGTCACCAGGAGAAACCCTCTCGGTGTCACCAAAGGATCACGTGCTGCCACAGCCAGTGCTTCCCAGGGAAATGCCTGGACGAGCCTGCCCAGCTGCACGTATTGGGGCGCTGCTCACTGACACTGTGCTGGGTGCCAGCCGTGGTGTCCCTGGGCCCACAGGCCCTCCCTGCATCCCTGTGGCTCCTATGGGGACACAAGCACGTTTCAAGGGCAGTTCCTTCCATCCCTGTTTACAGCTGTGCTGACAACATGGTTAAAACACTGGAGCAGCATCCCAAGGGACACCAATCAGCCTTGGGGACACTAAGCATTTCTGATGCATCCCCTAGAACATTTATCCCTGGAGAAAGGAGGTCTGAATGCAGCAGGGATGTGTGAAACCCACCTGGCCACAGCTGCTGCAGGGCTCCCGGAGCCCTGGGCCCAGCCAGCAGTGCTCTTGAGAGTTGGGGCTGAGCCAGCTGTCCCAGAATGGTGGGTCCAGCTGCATCACCAAGCTCCATCCAGCGCTTTTGCCAGGACAGCAGTGTCCCAAGTCTGTCTGGCATTTCCCCCAGCACACACCCGTACCTCCAAGACATCACTGATGTCTCTACAAGGTATCTACGTAAGCACTATTTAAGCAGGTAAGATCTGCACCCTCTGATGGCTGCAGTGCCTGTTGCCAGTCCTGGGGACGAGCAGGCTGGACAAGCTGGACAGCACAGTGCTGGTTTTCCTCCAGCAGCTTCGAAGCTCCCCGTGCTACCCCCTGCCAGCACCATCCCACGTGCCTGGCATCGCCTCTGCCCTCTGCTCCAGGAGGGAAGCAGGGGCAGACCAGCCCAGCATCACTTCTCCACACACAGGCTTTCTGGTGAGAGTGGGTTTATCCAAACTTGGCCCTGCTTCTCACGTGTTCCATGCCCTATCTCCACCCATCCATTCATCCATCCATCCATCCATCCATCCATCCATCCATCCATCCGTTAATTGCCCTTGGCTGATCTCTCCAACCCAGCTGTCTGTGCTCTGATACACTCTGCCTCACCATCCCTACCCAGAAGGCTTTCAGCCAGACAGACGCTGATAACAGTCTGATTTACTCACTCAGGTTAAACACAACACAAGGACTTCAGGTGTTCCCTTTCAGGTTCCGTCTGGCAGCGGAGCAGTGTTTGGCAGGGAGCTGACACTGAGGAAGGGCCACCACTCCCACCCGTCGTGGCTTTCCTGCTCCATCTATGCCTGCTTCCTCCCTGGGAGCAGGACATGCAGCTCGAGCAGCTGCTTCAAGCCACATCCCTTGTGAGTTCAGTGCTTGAGACCCAAAAATCCCTCAAGCTCGGCGAGAAGGGAGCTTTACCGCACCACTGCAGCATCAGGCTCAGGAAGGCAAAGGCTTGCTGACCAAACAGCCCAAAGACGAGCGGTACCAAACAAACACAGCACGGGGCTGAACTCATCCACCCAGATCCAGGGCTGAGCTGCTCCAGGCTTTCTGCTTCAGCACTGTTACACAACCACTGTTATGAAGAAAATTCAATTACAGGAGTTATTTGTAAGCACAAGTGCACCAGTGAGCATTGGAGAAACACGAGCTGCGATGGTCCAGAGGTTACGGGCTGACCCGGGGCAAGTAGATCACCTCCCAGGGAGGGGGCTGCTGCTCTTTGCAGTGGCTCAAGCAGAGGAATTTCCAGAAGATGAAAAGCTAACAGTTTCATAGAGTAAAATATCTTAATATTTATTGTGTCTCAGGACAAGAGAGTTCTACTCGATACACAAAACGAGTTAAAGCAGCATATAATACTGACAATTAAGTCACAGCTGAGTCGGTGCAAGGACACCTACCAAGGTAAAGGCACCAAACCTCACTACAGCTTACAAAGAATCACTACAGCCCGTACTTAAAAAAGTACAACTATAAAAAAGTATATAAAACCCAGGGTGGGGATGAAAGAGAGCTTGGCATGAAGCCGAGACCTTGCTGCCCCAAGGGCTGCAGGCAGTCAGGGCCGTGTTCTAAGGGGGTAACAGTCCCCTCAGAGAGCAAACTCACCCAGAGAGTGAGGGGATGTGGAAGGGCTGCCAGAGATGAGGGGGAGCATCACTTTCCCGACAAAGGCACTGAAGAAGAGCACTGGGAGTCCTGCGAGACCACCAGTATGGCCGGTTCGGTACAGCACTTGAGCACACCAGCCGAGGACAGAGCTGGGGGCTGCAGAGCTTGCTGCACCCACCGCAGCTACGCTAATTATCCCAGGAGGTGGCACAGCAAAGTAGTGTTAGGACAAGACCCTGAGCACACCAGGACAGCTGCTGCACTCATTTCTAGGAGCTAGTTGAGAAGATCAGTCAGTTCAAAGCAAGATTTCACGAAGTGGCATCCAGAGGAAAACCCGAGGTGGCAGCATCCTCCTCGGCCATGGAGAGCACGACCTGCAAGGCACAAGAAAAAGCATTAACAGACAAGGCCGGCTTTATATACAGCTTAAAACTATGTAGCAGACACGGTCTTGCAGGTGCCCTGGTCCTCAAGGGCATTGTACTGGTCCTCAGGGGTACCGGTCCTCAGGGGCGACCAGGCAGCAGCCAGGGATGCAGAGGCAGCCCATTGAGCTGACATCTCCCAACAGACGTACCCAGCCACAGCCACAGTGTGCTGGGAGGCAACTACACCATCTCGTACTGATTGTTAGTGATGTACTGGGACAGGCAGCAGGCAAGGATGATGCCAATCAACTGAAAAAGAGAAGAAAAAAAAAAACTACGCATCAGAGGATGCAGTGTTTTACAGGAAAACCTGACAAATTGCTCCAGAGCACCAGTTTCATAAAATCCAAGAATGGGCAGTGGGATTTACAAACCACAACACGAGGCTGCCGTGCCCTGCTTCAGACTAACTGAGCGAGGCTGAAGCAGAGGATCCTGGCAGACATCAGCCAAACAAGATCCTCACAAGAGATGCTCCACGTTCTGTCCTGTTACACTTTGCTTCATAAAGCATCTACTGTTTTATGGTAATTTCAAAGATTGCACAGATATCAGGAGCGTCACAGCCAATTACACAGCCACCAGAGAACAGCAGCCACCTCTCCCTGTTGCAAGGACAGCAGGGAAGCAAGGTTGTTGTTATTGCATCACCATCTGAAAGACATGCTACTATTATCACAGTGTGGCCTCACAGCCCCTGCACAAGCATTTAGGGACAGATCCTGCAGGAGTTTTGACCCACACCAGCACAGTTAGAGGCACGTTTGCATGATGGGTCCCTGCCCGACACAGCCAGACTTGCTGAGAGAGCGATAAAAGCCAGGAACCAGTTACAATTCCCACGCTTGGCATCAGCCAAGATAATTTCGCGGCCAGGAGCGTGCAGCTCACTGCGCTGTGTTGGTCACGTCTCGGTGACCCCACGGTGAGCACAGCTCAACTGAGGAGGAGACTGGGGCGAGCAGCCGGGCACAGCAGCGTGGCTCTGGCTCTTGGGCTCTCCTGGCTGAAGCCAGGAGCTGTTGGCTCCCACCTCTCCCCCAGCTCAGTGCGTCCGTTACGGGAAACACACGGTGACACACTCCTTACGGGAGAAATATCTTGGCAGGGTTCAGCCCGTGGTCCTCGGGGGCAGGCCCTTGAAGGTCACGCCACGTGTTCTGGATCAGGGGGAGGAGAAATTCAAGCCCCTCTAAAGCCAAGTCCAGGGGAGCTCACTCTACAGCTGCTCAGAGCCCTGCAAGGCCCCGCAAACCAGCTAAGTAAGCCGTGCGTCCTGCAGCTCCCGCGGCCGAGCATCGAGGAAAAAGCTCAGCCCGTCGGAAACTCCGACGCGGCAGAGCTGGGGGCAGGGGCCTCTCCTTTCCTGCCGGAGCAGGGGCTGGCGGGAACATGGCTCCTCAGGAAGTGTCCTACAGGATAAAGTACGGGACAGGGTGGGGAGCACGAGAGAGAGGACACAATCGCAGGGAAAGGTGGCTGCGGGGTGTGAGCCACCGGCAAGTGGTGCCCCACGGGCGCTCCCAGGGACCCAGCCAGGCAGAACTGACGCTGAAACGCCTCCCTGATAA